CTATGAGTCGGAAACGACTCGACGGCACTTAACGACAACAACAACAATGCATTGGAAATCTCCAGTCTCCAAGAGAGAATGAAGTATGCAATGTCTTGCAGCCTACTTCATTACAGAGCTGTTCCTCAGTGGGACATCTTGAGAAACTAGGTTTCTGTAGAACACATTTAGAGAAATGCTGATCTAGGTTGGAATAAGGTCTGAATTGTAGAGACCACATAGCTCTCAGATGTCTTTACATAGTGTCAAGGAAAAGCCAGTGGGAGCTTTGAAGAGTCAGTGGAGGGAAGTCTCAATATGTTCCTTGTGTTCGGGGCTTTGCTCACCTTCTTGAGCAGTATATTCATTGTCAATGATCCGGGCCAAACCGAAGTCGGCGATTTTACAGCACAGGGTCTCGGACACCAGGATGTTGGCTGCCCTCAAGTCACGGTGGATTGAATTCTTTTGCTCAATGTATGCCATTCCTTCTGCAATCTGAGGAAACAGGTCACACAGTGAAGAACAGTGTGGTATTCTCCATTCAAGGGTTGTGCCTTCCCATCACCCCCTGCACAATACCTATGGGGTGAGAGGGATGGCCTGCCCTGCCCTCATCCATATCCACCAGCCTGACTATAGAACAAGCCTCCTCCCTCTCAAAGAGGTGGAAGAGGAAGATTCAGGTGAGTGTGTGCATGTGTGTGTACTGGGGAAGGTGATGCAGCTGCTGGAGAAGGAGTGCATTCTTTGGTGTAGTACAAATATGGCTTCAGTTGCTCATCTACCAAATAAACCCCTAGAAGTCTCCTAGAAGGCCAGCATGGCAGGAACCCAGCCCCTTGTCATTAGAGAGATAGAGGTTTTACATAGTCCCTCACCACACTTCTCTTCTTCCAGGAAGCTGCTCTTCAAGTGTCTACAAGGGAGTAAGGTAGCACTGTGAAGGCAGGAGAAAAGGAAGGTCTCTGGGAGGGAGAAGAAAAAAAGGGGGCAGGATGGAACAAGGAAGGCAGGAGAGAAAAGAAAAGTTTCATCTCTTTGGAAAGTTGGAAACACTGTACTTGGAGCCGGGATTTGAATCTTTGACCTCAAGGGCATTGTTTGACCTCCCTGAGGAATCAGTGTCTTGATGTAGAACATGAGGAAAGTGGTCTCCAGAGCATGGAGTTGAGATGGGCATTGGATGAGATGACATGTGGCAAAGTAGCCCAGTAACTGCCAATAACAGGCACTCAGTTGAGTGTGAGCAGAGTCTGAATGAAGTCAAGGAAGAGGAGACCTGCCTCTGTCCCATGGCTCACCAGCACTGGGCCAAGAAGTACTGCTTATATGCTTTTTAGCCAAGGAGACTAAGTAAGACTGTACTCATTGCATTCCCAGTTGATGGATGAAGGAACTGAGGCAAAGAATAGAGTATCAATTTACCTCTATGGACCTTCAAGAAGCTTGCATTGGAATTGATCTCACTTTTCCTTATGTACCCATTTGCATTGTTTTACTCATTAATCATTCATTAACTTGTTACTTCATTCATTTATTGCTTCATTAAATTATGTAATCAATATAGATTTATTAGTAAGGTGCTATGGGAAATATAAAACTCTATACCAAATCTTTTTATAACTAGACAGCATTTAATAGTACTCATTCCATTAACAAATATTTATTGAACACTGCTAGAAATTAAAAAAAAACTGAGTAAGGACACAGATCTGCTTTCAAGGAGAAGAAACTAATATACACAAGGCTAATGAGAACACATGAGCTAAGTGTTCTCTACATGTTTCCTGTCCAGGGAAAACTTAACAGAAATGATAATTGACTTGGATCATGTGCTGATTAGAATTTTCCCAGATGGAGAAGGGTCAAGGCATTTTGGGCAGAGGGGACAGCCTAGGCAGAGGCTCAGGGAATGACAATGCACAGAGCATCAGGGAATATGGAATGATGCCATGGGACTGCAAAGTAGGACACGTAGGGGTGTGGTAAGAGGGGTCTCCTGGGGCAGCCAGGGTGCCCTTGGAAAAAGGGCCTTGGGAGGTTTTGCATTTCATGCTGTAGAGTAGGAAAAGGAGAGTCTAGAAGAACTTTGAGTTAGCATACATGTTTAGGGAGAGGAGAGTCCCTAGGTGGTGCAAATGACTAAATTGCTCAGCTGCCAATCAAAAGGTTGGAGGTTCAAGTCCACCCAGAGATGCCTCAGAAGAAAGGACTGGCAGTCTACTGAAGAATCAGTCCCTGAAAACCATGTGGAGTATAGCTGTACTGTGACACACATGGTGTCACAGCAACTGGTCCTGGTTGGTGGGAGGTGTGCATTAGCATGATCAAAATATGGTTTCCAAGCTGTTCACTTGGGAGCTGACTTTCTGGTTTCTAACACCCAGACTTTTGACCACATCTAGTTACTAAACTCAGATGAGTTTTGATACCTTCTGCCCCTAGTGCCCCAAGATTGCCCAGGGGCTGTAATGGGGATTGAATAAGAGATAGATGGGAGTAGCAGAAGGAAAAGAAAGGAAAAAGAAGAAGACAGCATTATCACTGTCATGTGGTTTGAAAGAAGTAACTAGTGTTAATTTTTTCAAAACCATTTTACCAGCTTGCTCAACCAAACCTCACCCCTTCTGCCTGCTCACCTCAGTGGAAAAAAGGGTGGTGACATAAATTCCTGCATTGATGCTAATAGCAGATAAAGCCAAATGAGGTGAGGAGGAGGTGGTGGGGGTGTGGGGTGGCTAGTTTCCTCTCCATAGCCGGATGTGTGTGGGTGTATGTTTATGCATTTCTTAGGCTGACCACAGACCAAAGCTTTTCTGCTGAGAGTCCCAGTTTTAACAGACACATATATCAGGGTCACCAGATGTGTTTTCTTGCCAGTTAGAACCCTCAGCTAAAATCCCTGGGGAGGAACGTTCCCTCCTCTCCATTCTGAACTTCACTCACAAAGTCTGGAAAGTTCTGCATGTGAATCCAAGGAACACACAAAGGACCAGTCCATGAGCACAGAAGAAGGTCTGGTGCTTGCAATTCCCTGATGTTAGAAGAGGAGGATTATTTAGTGCCAAGAGAGAAAACAATGTCCCTAGCACTTGTGTATGGCTTATGGCAGCCCATCAGCTGGGAGCCGAGTCCCAAGGCTGCAGCAGGACTTAAGATTCCTGGGACAGGATCAATATTTTCAGGATCATCTCATGCAGAAGGCATTTGTGGACACCATGTAAGAATAAGATGAAGTCATAACAAAACACACTTGCCTCCTATGGTAAACAGAGTCTCGCTAACTTTCTGTGGCAAAGAAGATTGGATGTCTCACAATATTCATTCTCGCTTTCTTCCTTGATACCTCATCATGTTATGGCTGCCCAGAATGAAGACTAAATTTCCCAGGCTCCCTTGCAGCTACCTAGGTATGGCAATGTGACACAGTGGCCAGTGGGATGTAAGAGTAAGTATAGTGGGTAATTTCAGGGATGTGTCCTAAACATTAGAAGATGAGCTTTCTTTCCACTTAACATTTCCTGTCAGCTGCTAAGAGGCTATGATTGTAAAGTTTTAGCAGCCATAATGGAAAATAAAATAGCATATACCGAGATATTTAGCAGGGCGGAAGAAACCTGGGACCCTGGTAGCTTACTGAGTCAGAGACACTTACCTGTCCTGGAGTGCCCACCTCTGGATGTTTATATATTTAAACCATTATTTATTTGGATTTTTTGTCCTTCACAGCCCAAACTAAATATGATACAACTGATGAGTAGCTGATTAATTTGTTAAGCCACTGAACATGGAGAAAAGGGCCTGCAGGTTCAGGCCAGCATGAGCCCAGTGCTCTCTGGTTCTGTCTGCACTTGGTAGCTGACAAACCTGGGCTGACATGTCAATCAGTCTTGGGAGGGACAAGCTGCTACCTTCATCAGTCTTCAGAAAATCCAGAAGGCATCCTAGGAAAAGAGACATTGCAACTCTAATTCTGCAAAATGACCCATTCCTGCTGTGCCATTCTCTCTAGGAAGTAGGTAGCCACTTGGTACACTGAGAAGGAACCCATCTACAGATGCAGAGTGCCTTATACTTTATAGAAGTTCCAGTTGCAATCCTCATAGCACCCCAGGAGGCAGCTAATATGCTCCCCAGCTGTCCAGAGGAAATTAGGTCTCAGCCAGGTTAAGGGACCTATCTCAGGTGATACAGCTAGGGGAACTGTAAGTAGAACCTGCTGCACTGATCCTAAGTTTGGTGCTATTTCCTGACACAACTTTCCCATGTTGGTATCTTTCTTGTTGCCTTGATCTTTTGTTGGCAGAGGTGTTTCTCTTAGCAAGAAAACACCAGAATGGAAAGAACTATCGCTTGGTGTGTGTGTGGAGTGGGGAGGGGAGAGGTTGGTACAAGGTATAAATGTAGCTCCTCCATGGCATTAAAGATCTGAGAAGGAAGTTCACCTGAAATGCTACTAAGAGGTGATCAAGGAGGCCATTATGACCCCTAGCATAGTCTCCTTGTGTGGCCCTCTTTCTAGAAAATTTAAGGGAAATGTATAGCTATGGCTGTAAAGAAGCAGTGTAGAGTTAGGGCTATAAGAGAGGTGAGGAGGTCAAAGTCTGAGACTGTAGTTAGGGGTTTATTCCCCCACCCCATCCCCTGCCCATCCTCCACCAAATACATAGACCTAATCAGAGGCTCACTGCCCCATGAGCACTTGGGCATACCATGGACTTCAGAGGCCATCTAGCCCAACTTCTCTTTTCATACATGTTGTAAAATGTTCACACTATTGTAAAGGGTCCCACAGCTAGTAAGTGGTAGAGCTGGGACTAGAACCCCATCTTCAGATGCCCAGTCTACAGATCTTGTGACTTTGTGGTGCTCTATCCCTGGTGGTGCAGTACTTAAGGCATGTGACTGCTAACCAGAAGGTTGGCGGTTCAAACCCACTGGCCACTCCATGGAAGAAAGACTGGGCAATCTACTTTTGTAAAGAGTTACTGCCTCAGAAACCCACAGGGAGTTGCTATGAGTTGGAATCAACTGGATGGCAGTGAGTTTGGTCTTTCTTTCTTTTTTTTTTAATCCTCCCCAGTAGGCATGAAATGGGGCTGGGTATAGAAAAGTCACTCCAAAAATGTTGATTGAACTGTTCCTGAACTGAGAAGCTGAGAAGCTCTATGATTTACCCATCTGTTTCCCTCCCCACTCCCACACACTTGCAACTCCCTAGATCCACCCATGGCTCAGCAATCCCCATGGAGAACCTCTGACCAGCAAAAGTGAAGGCAGCAGGATCAGCCTCAGACTTCTATCCCCCTGGAACTTGGACCTCTCCTCACGCCACCCAACTTCAGGGAAGGAATGAAGCCAAGCAGAGTACATCACCTCTGGCCATGTATTCAGTCACGATATAGATGGGCTCCTTGGTGACTACAGCATAGAGACGGACCAGTCTCTCATGTTGGAGGGTTTTCATCATGTTGGCCTCTCCCAGGAAGGCTTCTGGAGACATGCTTCCCTCCTTCAAGGTCTTGATGGCCACCTTCACATTGTTTTTGTAATAACCTGAGCTCAGGAGAGAAGAGAGAATTAAGAAGTCATTAAGAAGACTGACAGGTTGCTTGGAGGCAATCCCTGAAACCAAAATCTACATGAGTCTCCAGGTGTCTATAGGTGGGGAGACTGTAGCCAAAGAGGTCCACCGTAGAAGCAGTCCTGGGTTGAATGTGCAGATTCTGAGGGTAGGGATAGTGGCCAGGCTAATACTTATGCCGAAGCTATTTCAGGCTCACTTGCTATATTGGTGCCCAGGAAGTTGAGGGACTTACCCTGCATTTTCTGGGTCCAGCCCTGTTTCATACCTACTGGGGAGGATAGAGCACCACAAAGTTATAAGATCAGTAGGCTGGGCATCTGGAGATGGGGTTTTAGTCCCAACTCTACCACTTAGTAGCCACGGGACCCTTTTCAACTGTGTGGATATTTTACAACATGTATGAAAAGAGAAGTTGGGCTAGATGGCTTCTGAAGTCCATGGTATGACCAAGTGTTTGTTCATGGGGTTTACAACATGTATGAAAAGAGAAGTTGGGCTAGATGGCTTCTGAAGTCCATGGTATGACCAAGTGTTTGTTCATGGGGCAGTGAGCCTCAGATCAGGCCTATTTCTTTGGTAGAGGTTGGGCAGGGGCAATAAATCCCTAACTTTGCTCCCATATCCAGGGCCTGGGCTATATCCTTTAGTCCCTCATGTAGCCTGCCTCTTACCCCTATGACTCTCCCCTACATAATGAGTCTTTTCTATGATATAATAGTTTAATTATGGAATAAAGCATTACATTACGAAGGAGCCAGAGGTGGATTGGGGTCTCATTAACTCTTTTCTATGCCTAGTCCACCATTTGTCTGTAAGTTTGTTTTTCTGTGGTGGCTTGCATGTTGCTGTGATACTGGAAGCTTTGCCATCAGTATTTCAAATACCAGCAGGGTCACCCATGGTGGACAGCTTTCAGTGGAGCTTCCAGACTAAGGCAGACTAGGAAGAAGGATTTGGTGATCTACTTCTAAAAAAAAAAAATTGCCAGTGACAACCTTATGCATAGCAGCAGAACATGGTCTGACATAGCACTGGAGAATCAGCTCCTCAGTTTGGAAGGCATTCAAAATACAAATAGGGAAGAGCTGTCTCCTCAAAGTAGAATCAACCTTAACGATGTGGATGGAATAAACCTTCTCTGACCTTCATTTGCTGATGTGGCAAGACTCAAAATGACAAGAAACAATCAGTAATGATCAGAATGTAGAATACATAAAGAATGAATCTAAGAAAAGTAGAAGTCATCTAAAATGAAATAGAACACATAAAGATCAATATCCTAGGTGTTGTTGTTGTTGTTATGTGCTGTTGAGTCAGACCCGACTCATAGCAACCCCTCCTCGGGTTTCTAAGGCAGTATCATACGGAAGTAGATTGCCCAACCTTTCTTCTGAGGAGTGGCTGGTGGCTTTGAACCACCAGGATTATGGTTAGCAGGTAAGTGCCTTAGGCACTACACTACCAGAGCTCCTATCCTGGGTATTAGTGAGCTGAAATAGGCTAGTATTTTGAATAGGACAATTATATGGTATGCTATGCTAGGAATGACAAATTGAAGAGGAATGGCATGACATTAATAAAAAAAAAAAAAAAAAAAAAATTCAAGATCTATCTTGAGCTACAACATATGCCTGTAAGGAAGACTAGTTAATATGACTATTATTCAAATTTACATACCAACCATTAATGCCAAAGATCATAAAGTCGAAAATTATTACCAACTTCTGCAGTCTGAATTGATCAAACAGGCAATCAAGATGCACTGATAATTAACTACTGATAATTGAACTGTAAAAATTGGAAACAAAGAAGAATCAGTAGTTGGAAGCTAAGCCTTGGTGATAAAAACAACACTGGAAATTGCATGATAGAATTTTGCAAAAGCATTGACTTATTAGTTGCAAGTATCTTTTTTTTTCAACATAATGGTGACAATACATGTGGACCTTGATGGATGAAATACACAGGAATCAAATCAACTACTTCTTTGGGAAGAGATGATGGAGAAGCTCAATATCATCAGTCAGAACAAGGCTAGGGGCCAACTGTGGAACAGACCATCAGTTGCTCATATGCAAGTTGCAATTGAAGTTGAAGAAAATTAAAACAAGCCCACAAGAGCCAAAGTATGACCTTGAGTATATCCCACCTGAATTTAGAGACCAACTGAAGAACAGATTTGACACATTGAACACTAATGACTGAATATGAGTGAGTTGTGGTATGATATCAAGGACATTATACATGAGGAAAACAAAAGATCATTGAAAAAAAAAAAGCAGGAAAGACAGAAAACACCAAAATAATTGTCAGAAGAGATTCTGAAACTTGCTCTTGAGCAGAGTAGATAAAACGAGTGGAAGAAATGATGAAGTAAAAGAGTGGAAAAGGAGATTTCAAAGAGTGGCTTGTGAAGATAAAGTAAAGGATTATAATGAAATGTGCAAAGATCAGGAGTTAGAAAACCAAAAGAGAAGAAAATGCTCAGCATTTCTCAAGCTGAAAAAACTGAGACAGAAAAAAAATACAAGCTTTGAGTGCAGTACTGAAGGATTCTCTGGACAAAATATTGAACAATGCAGAAAGCATCAGAAGAAGATGAAAGAGTACACAGAATCACTGTACCAAAAAGAATGTGTCATTATTTGACTATTTCAAGAGATAGCTTATGATCAAGAACCGGTTGAAGAACTGGTATTGAAGGAAGAAGTCCAAGCTGCACTGAATGCATTGGTGAAAACAAGACTCCAGGAATTGATGGAGTACCAATTCAGATGTTTCAACAAAGGGATGAAATGCTGAAGTGCTCACTTGTCTATGTGTCTACACCAAGAATTTGGAAGACAACTACCTGGCCAACCAAGTATAAGAGATCCATATTTGTGTCCATTCCAAAGGAAGGTGATCCAACACAGTGTAGAAATTATCAAACAGTATCATTAACATCACACACAAGTAAAATTTTGGTGAAGAAAATTCAAATATTGTTGCAGCAGTATATTGACAGGGAACTGTCAGAAGTTCAAGATGGATTCAGAAGAGGACATGGAATGAGGGTTATCATTGCTGATGTCAGATGGATATTGGCTGAAAGCAAAGACTGCCAGAAAGATGTTTACCTGTGTTTTATTGACTATGCAAAGATATCAGAACTGTGTGAAACATAACAAATTATGGATAACATTTCAAAGATTGGGAATTCCAGAACATTTAATTGTACTTATGTCGAACCTGTACATAGACCTAGAGACAGTTGTTTGAACAGAGCAAGAGAATACTCCATGGCATAAATCAGGGAACGTGTGTGTCAGGGTTGTATCTTTTCACCATACTCATTCAATCTGTATGCTGAGCAAATAATCTGAGAATCTGGACTATCTGAAGAAGAACGCAGCATTAGCATTGGAACAAGACTCATTAACAACCTGTGAGGTGCAGATGACACAATCTTGCTTGCTGAAAAGTGGAGAAGACTTGAAGCACTTACTGATGATGATCACAGACTACAGTCTTCAGTATGGATTACACTTCAATGTAAAGAAAACAAAAATCTTCACAACTAGACCAATAAGCAACATCATGATAAATAGAGAAAAAAATTGAAGTTGTCAAGGACTTCATTTTACTTGGACCCGCACTCAAAGGCCATGGAGGCAGCAATTAAGAAATCAAATGACGTATTGCTCTGGGCAAATCTGCTGCAACAGACATCTTTAAAGTGTTAAAGAGCAAAGCTGTCACTTTGAAGACTAGCAAATGCCTGACCCAAACCAAGGTATTTTCAATAGTTTTGTATGCATGTGAAAGCTGGACAATGAATAAGGAAGGATGAAGAAGATTCCATGCATTTGAATTGTGGTGTTGGTGAAAAATATTAATATACCATGGACTGCCAGAAGAATGAACAAATCTGTCTTGGAAGAAGTACAGCCAGAATGCTCCTTGGATGTGAAGATGGTGAGATTTTGCCTCTTGTATTTTGGACATGTTATCAACAGAGACCAGTCCTTGGAGAAGGACATCATGCTTGGTAAAGTAGAAAACCAAACCAAACTCACTGCTGTCGAGTCTATCCCGACGTATAGCGACCCTTCCGTGGGTTTCTGAGGCAGTATTGCTACAGAAGTAGATTGCCCAACCTTCCCTCCGAGGAGTGGCTGGTGGGTTTGAATCGCCAGCCTTCTGGTTAGCAGTCAAATGCCTTAGGCACTACACCACCAGAGCTTCCTTGGTAAAGTAGAGGGTCTGTGAAAAAGAGGAAGACCCTCAACAAGATGGACTGACACAGTGGCTGCAACAATGAGCTCAAACAGGAAGAATCGAGAGGATGGTTCAGGAGTGGTATACATATGGTTTCTGTGAGTTGGAACTGACTCAGTGGCACCTAACAACAACATGCCTTTGTGTCATCCCTGTCCACTCCTTAAACTACTTGATATCTCTGCACTACCATCTGACCCTATGCACACCCTCCCCACCTCAGTTAGGCTTAGAAGATGAATAACCACTCCAACTTTCCCCTCTTAGGGGAGCTGCATTGTAACAGGGACCCAACACTCTAGATACAGTGGAGTGCCTGATAGTGGCATCTCAGGCTCAGCATTGTGATGCATGAGGGTATGGCGAGGCAACCAGATTCTACCATGAAATCAATCCCCAGAGACATGGACCATTCTAAGAATAAGGTAAAGCAGGATATTTTGTATTCTGATAGTGCCAATGACAAGCAGGGGACAGTCATCACATGCAATTTAAATACAAAAACATGGGGACCTAGAAATTAAATGACTCAGCCAAAGTCGCTAATTGGCCAGTGGATGGCCTTGATCAGACTCTTGGAACTCCTGGTTCACTGTTCTTCCATGTATAACATACTATTTACGTATACATGAGTCAAAGTTGGGAAAAGTTGGCAATACATTTAAGTTCACACACAAGTCAATGGGAAAGCTAGCATGGGGCAGAAAAGAATAAAGGAGAGAACTGAATTAGGGGCCGAGAGAACTGGATTCTATTCCTACTCCATCACTCTGATACACTATAGCAACCATGGAGAAGTCACTTCAATGACTTTGTCAGTAAAATGGATATCTGAATTTCTGTCCTTTCTCCCTCACAAATCTTTATGGGGGAGATATGATGCACTGTGCAAATACTGGGACTTTTGTCTTCAGTGGCCCCTTCTGTATTTCAGGATGTAGGGCAGGGAGAGAGGCTCCTGGCATGCTGATACTCACCCATCCAGACTTCACCAAACTGCCCAGACCCGAGTTTCCTGACCAATTTGAGAGACTGCCGGGGAATTTCCCATTCATCCTGGGCCCAGGGGTTTTGAGGATCCAGGTTCACACAGGGCAGGGTCAGTCTTTGGCACAAACCATCTCCTTTCTCTGCATTAGGGAAGAAAGATGGGGCTGGAGGTTACCAGAGCAACCAAAGATTCACACCTTTCTAGGTGTCTTAACGATCAGCTGCACCCCCCCCCATACTCATTAGCTCTTGATAAAGCAGTGTGTGCTAGCTCTCTCTAAGGACATTTAGATTTCAAATACTTGTCACTCTACTTGGTCACATGTTGACCTGGTAGAGGAGATTAGGGCTACCAATGTTGAATCATTACTCTGAGAGCTGGAAAATCTCTTAGGTCTAGCTCTAGGATAACCCCCTCTTCTGTGGTACAAATGATTCACATAGTGAAAGACAGATTTGAGGGCTCCCCTGGCACAATCTCTGCCCCAGCCCCTCGACTTGGGATGCCCACTCTTACTAGAATAGTGCTGCACCAGGGCTTGGAGTGAGGGAAAGGTGATCCTGGGAGAGATGTAATAGCCTCCTTCATCCAGCGTGCGGATCTTATAGTGTTTGATCACCTCACCCTGGGTGGTTATATCCTTCACAGACAGGGAAAAGGCACCTAGAGGGTTAATAAAACACACCCATGAGAAAAGTAAAGCATAAAGACAAGCTACTAGGATTACGATTTGAGCTGTGTTTTAATTCATTGAAAAAATGTCCTCAAATTCTACTCTCCATTTTGGCCACTACTGTTGTAAGTTTCCCCATCTGATCTCAGCCCTCCCAGAAGTCTTCTCTCTCAGCTCCACCTGATTCTGTCCTTGACGTTGCCTCCAAAACTCACATATGGAATCATACAACTCTGGAGCAGGTGGGACAGTCTCTTAGCAATCACATTCCTCCTCCCCGCTCGAGCACCTGGTCACTCTGGCCCCTGTGCCAGAAATGTAGGGTCATTGTAGCGCCTAGGGGCTTGCTTGCTTGCTTTATTTTTGTCTATACAGTGATCTCACATACAGTAGCAAATCATAACCTCAAGCACCTGTGTCCTGGAAGCAAGCATAATAAACTGTTTCCCATTGTGTCTGTTCATAGTCATTTGCTGCTTGTCAATTTATTTTGTCATCTATGCTGATGTTTGCCTGGAGAAAAGTGGTAGCAGAAGGCAAGGGTTGAGAATTAGGAAGAAAAAGTTTCATGTTGATACACTTCTTTCCATTCACTGGATGTTTTTATAAAACACTTCTGAGCAGCAATCTGGGCACCATGGGTCCGCTCCAAACTCTAATCTGAGACATGAGAAAGCTGAGGCCTGGAAGGATAATGGTGCTTGTCGAAGGTCACGCTGCTAGTTAGTGGCAGGTTTGGGGATTGCGCTGAGGGCTCCAGGGTCCTCTCTTTGAGGACGAAACGACCAATACCACATTTCCCCACCAGGGGTCAGGCTTGGACATCTCTTTCTCTGGGGCGTGGCCGCTCCATTTTGTCCTGTTTGTCTTTGGGCATCTTTCTTCTTCTGTCAGAACAATTATCCCTGTTCAAACTTCTTCTCCTCTGCTGTTTCTCTTAATCAATGAGTCTTGCTCATCACCTATTTGCAGAAGAGGATGCCGAGAGGCTGTTCGCTCAGCCAGCGAATCTTGCCTCTGCCACAGCCCACCCACACTCCTGGCCCCAGCCCTGAGGCTGCAAACTATTCCATCCCACACCCCCATCTCCAACCCCAGGTTGGTGCAGCTGTGCCCTCCAGCCTCCAAGGAACAAAAAAGAGCTTGGCTGTGGTGAGTTCATTCATCCACACCACTGTAGTAAGGAAAAAGACTTTCCCCCCCATTTCATAGGCTACGAACTGAGTGAAGTGCCCAGCAATATGCCAAGAAGACCTGGCTCTCCTCCACACGGTAAGATTTTCTGTGAAGCTGCTTAAGCTTATAATTTAGTGTCTCACACTAGCTCTTGTGGCATAGTGCCTATGACATTTGACTGCTAACCAGAAGGTTGGAGGTTCAAATCCTCCAGCCACTCCACACAAGGAAGATTGGGCAATCTACTTCAGTAAAGATTTTCCACTTTGGAAACCCAGTGGGGGTCGCTATGAGTCAGAATCCACTCAGTGTCAGTGAGTTTCACTTGCCTGGGATATTCTAAGATCTTATCCCTCATATTTGACAACCCCCTCCCCTGCCACACACTTTAGTATTGTTCTTAAAGAGGGCCTCCAGAACCTTCAGATTCACAAAACCTGGATCCAGATGTGTCCATGGTCCATCTGGGCTGCATTGGGCACTCAGGGCTTGGCTCTCAGAGATTAGGAATTCTTAACACGGGAAGGATCACATATATGCCTTTGGACTCATATGTAGTTGCCATTGTGTCTGACTCATGAGGACCCCATGTGTGTCAGAATAGAACTGTGCCCTGGAAACTGGGTTTTCATTGGACGATTTTTCAGAAGTAGATTGCCATGTCTTTCTTCTGAGGTACCTTTGGGTAGATTAGAGTCCTCAACCTCTTGGTTAGCAGATGAGTGCGTTAACTGCTTATACCACCCATGGACTCATATGGATACTAATAAACTGAGGCTAAGAGAGGAGGCCACATAGGGCTTGAACCTGCGTCTTCTGCTTCTGAGGGTAGCACTCCAATGCTTTGCTTCATTGCTTCTTGGCCCCTGTTTGTATGTACTGGCTGTGGCTTGAAGATTCACACTAAGAGGTCTTGTTTTGGAATTCTGAGGTAGGGGTGTGTATGTGTGTGTGTGTGCACACGAGGGGTGATGATGTTTGCACACCCCTACAGCCTTGGCTCCATCTGGCTAATTACCAGCTTAGGCTAGCTCCTTGGGGGTGAGAAAGGACAGAACAAGACAGGCCAACCCTTACAGAGGCCCTTCCTCCACCACATGGAGGTCTGAGAATCCCTTTTCTTCAGACAGTGCTTTAGCAATAGGCAATGATTAAAAAGTCATTTCCAAGGTGAAATGATGTGTTGACTGGGATTTGCTTCAAAATAATGGCAGAGGGTAGAGGGTGGTAGGGATATATGAAAGAAAATTTGGCTGAGTTGATAATTGTTGAAGCTGGGTTTTGGGTCCAAGGAGTTCCATTATACTATTCTTTCTACTTCTGTGTGTGTTTGGAATTTTCTACAATAACAACAAAACCTTTATGGCATCATCAGTGATTCTGAAATTGTTTCTTGGACAGAGGTGCTGTGCCATTCAGACAAAATAGTGTTAATATCCTAATATGTAGAAAAAAATATAGTTGATGGGTAGGCTTTTCCAAAAATCAAGTTTTACCCTTATGAACTTTCTTTAATCCTTGGAGTCTGCTAAAGCTTACATGGAATAATTATTGACTCAGTCTCCAAAAGTATATCTAAATTCATTAAACCAAACTCATTACCATTGAATTGTTTCTGACTCATAGAGACCCTGTAGGATGGAGTAGAACTGACTGATAGGGTTTCCAAGGCTGTTATCTTTAGTAGACTGCCACATCTTTCTCCCGTGGAGTGGCTGGTGGGTTCGAACTGCCAACTTTTAGGTTAGCAGCTGAGTGCTTTTAACCACTACACCACTAGGACTCCTCTTAATAAGAATATATGTAGTTATTTTAAATTTAGCATATCACTTGGTACATTTCAGGAAATTCTACACAAAGCACCCTAACTTCCTAATGTACCCTCTCTTCCCCAACCTGGCCCTGGCCTTTTGAGGGGAAGTAAGACAGCAATTTACCCAGAGCTTCTCAGGATATTATAAGCAGGTCTCTTTATCTCAGTTTTTGCTGGTCTGGTGCATCCCCACTCCATAAAGTTGTTGAAATGTAAAGGAAGCTGAGGGACAGACAGCCTGGTGGGCTCTTCCTACTAGGCAAAATCTTGGCCCATTCTCATTCCCCCAAACACAGGGAACCAAACACACAATCAACCACCCTCTCGTCTCTTCTTCTTCCAATGTCACGGTCACCAGTTCCTCTCAAGTTAAACATTGGTCATGAGGATGTAGCAGGCCCCAATGTGCAGCTCCCTGATCAGCAAAAACTTCCTTTACCCTGCTTGGAAAATTCCCCTAGGTCACCCAAGTTAGGCCAACTTGACATATTTTAGAGCTTGTGAGGATTCTAAGCCTGCTGTATGATTGGGCCACTGACACTTGGGCTCCAGTGTTTACTCACTGTTAGCCTTGGGTGAGCCATTTCCTCTTTCTGGGTCTCAGTTTCCTCATGTTGTTTCACATGGGGTGTTGGTTTAGTATCTCAGAGGTCTAAATCTAGTGGCAAATATGTACCAGGAGGCATATGTAATACATTTCTTATAGCAGTGTATTTATAATAGCTCTGAAATGGAAATAATCCAAGGTCTGTCAATAGTGGAATGAATACATAAAAATATGGAATATTTACACATTGGATTCCACATACCAAGGAAAGTGAACAGACTATTAACATACTCAACAACATATGGTTGTCACAATGTTGAGGGAAAGACCAAACAAAAAAAATTT